CTTTTAGTACAGTTCCTATTTTTTCATGGCTAATCAAGCTAATGTTTTCATGATTATTGCAAACACAAGGTTCCACAGAGCACAAACATACTGTACATAAAAAGAATTTTGTTTTATTCTCTCCTAATTTACACTTAACCACTGAAATAGGTTCCTGAGCAGAGTGAGGTAAACACCCTCAATCACTGGGCCCTTTAAGTGGCAACACAAAGCTATAAATAGGAGCACTTGTCTCATTAGGGCCCAATCCGCTGAAGATACTGTAGAATTACAGGGGAAAGGAGGGAAAAGCTAAGATCCAAATTAGCATACCAAGCACTCAAAGGAGACAGAGGACAAAGCAGGGCACAGCTCTGGGAAATATCAACAGAAATGATAAAGTACAATTAACTGGGCAAGCAAGGATAAACAAGGACTGAGAGATGGGTGAGATGCTGGAGTCAGTCACCATCTTTTTATTATCGTCATCTCTTGCCTGCCTTTTCTCAAGCACAGTACAGCATAGCGCAGTTCAAATATGCATAAATACAGCAGAGTACTGAGGAAAATGGTGACACAGACAAACAATGTATGAATATGAAAATGGACAGTTGATTGAAATCTGTACTTCTTTCATTCAAATTGTATTAAACAAGCCTTGATTTGAAAGAAAAACGAGACACACGGTTCAATGTACCTAGCTCGGAAATTCTCTTTTTCAGAAACTGACCGAGCATGTTCTTTCGTGTATGCTCTTGCTTTCCCTCTTAAGCCTTTTGAGTGTGTGTAAATAGGACACAAGGCAGTCTGTGACCTCATTCAGAGTGGCAGTGCTGAGATGACATTTTGTAATTTTGCAAAAGGTGTAGTAATCATTTACACATTCTCCCCCAGCCAGCCTTGTTTAATGAACACATCGCTCACTGTCCTTCAACACCAACAAAATGGCACCAGTCAGGAAGCGTGTATTAACAAGTAGCGACACCGGGGAAATGTGCGTCACCACTGGAGGGGAGTGATAGAATGGGCAGGTGTGTCGGATGTGCATTCTGGTGTGTATATGAATGCGTATCAGTTAAGTATCTTACTGGCAAACATGTGCTCGAGTCATAAGCTGCTCTAGCCGGTCCAAGGGTACACACATGTGTCACAGATAATGAACAGCAATAACACAGTGCAGCACGCTGTAGCATTTTGTAACTGTGGTGTCTTTGGTTATGTGGGACTAGTTTCATGAGTCCCTTAGCTCCAGTTCAGGCAGTTTCAACTGTCACTGTCAGTGCTATGCTATGTGCTGGACTAGCTGTGTCCCCGGTTCTTGCTGATTTGACTCCCCTGTGGCTGGTGGATGTGCTACAGTGGGTTTTGCTTCATATTTAACTGAGACATCTCCAGGTACCTTTGTGTAGGTGTGACCTACACAAAGAGAAACAGAGAGATAGGCTGCGCCAGGCTGTCACTCTGATGCAAACAGTAGAGCATGTGCCACCAACAGTCATAGCCAGAACACATACATCAGATGTTCATCCAGATGTGTGGCCTTGCAGTCAGTTTTTTTTTTGTGTGTGTGTGTGTGTGTTGCTCTTGTGTAACCTTGTAATATTTCATGAAGGAAAGAACTGTAATATTCATCTCTGGTGCAGCATCTGTTTTCTCAAAGGTATGCTCATATTTCTCACGAGGCCACTGTTCTCAACACTCTCCTTGCCCAGTGTCTGACAGGAGATATTTTTCACTGGTGCATCAATACTGGCCAAATCCTTCTCAAGAGCTGAAATGATTTCTCAGTCTTGCTCCGATACTAACCTTACTCTTGTCTTATACACAGAAGGGACTGTTTCTCATGGGAGATATTAACCCTCCCCGTGGCCTAGAGACACATTTTTCAGGGTGGAGCTGACATTAACTGTTGTGGCCAGAGCTGACTGTCTGAGCTGCGGGTCATACTTTATGGAGCCTCTCGTTTCCACCAACATTGATCTGCCAGTGGTTTATACTATGTGCACAGACTGGTAAAAACAGGCCTGCATGAATGTGTGTGCGTGTTTAGGTCTTCACAAACAGGAGGTGACATAGTAGTCACTAAGGAGAAATGAATACAGATTTCTAACACAAGAATAACCATGAGCATGACAAATTAGACACCAGTAAGAAGGTATGTGTAGCAGCTGCTTCCATTAAAAACAATAAAACTAGGAAAACAGGACTGTATTTTTTTTTTTAAAGAGACTAATCACCAATGTTGGATGCAGGGGATGCAATGCGCAACAAAAAGGGAAGTAAATCAGAGATAAAATAGGAGACAGGGTGGGGAGAGACACTTTACCTGGGACACCTTGCGCACCACATCCCCACTGACCATCAGACCCTGGACAAAGGAACGCGCTGCCACAAATGCGCGAGTAACCAGCATCTTCATTATATGGGATATGTCTCCGAAGGGCCGCAGTGTATCTATTTTTTTAGAAACACACTCCAGGTAGTCCTCACCTGCAATCAGGATACACACATTATTAAAATCTAACTAGAGAACATGAATACAATTAGTAGTCTAAAGATTATTCTTTAATACAATGTCAAGCAATCTCCATATCTTTAGATGGAGGTTCTCAGGTAGTAAAGCTGTTAGTAGTAACACACCATTAATCCATAAATAGCCTTTGGTTATGCTGTTCTACAAAAAACTGAGTATACCTATGACATATTGCTTGTTTGCCTGGTAGAAGAGCTTCTCCATCAGCTTTGTCCAGAATTCATTGATCACCTCATCCAGGTTGATGTTGGCCCCTCGGTAGTAGCGCCTCAAATCTGTGTACAGGTCAGAGAAGACCTGGGAATTCTGGGTGTATACGGAACCCCAAGTTTGAGTGAAAGTCTCCTGTAGGCTAATTGAAG